AAAAAAAAAAAAAAAGAAGGTCAGTTCTGAATGGGTTGCTGGGACATGTCTCTCTTGCCCATGGCTCTGCTCCCAGATCCAGAGCCTGGGGCACAGTAGGTGCTCAGTGAATTCTTGTTGAAGGATATGAGTACATAGAAGAAAGCAGGCAGAGGTGACTGGTGTCTTGGGGCAAGTCCTCCACCCCCAGACTCCCACTTGCCACCCCCCCACCCAGGTTCCGGATGAAATGCCACCTCTGCGTCAACTACATCGAGATGCAGACAGACCCTGCCAACTGCGACTATGTGATTGTAAGTGGTGCCCAGCGCAAAGAGGAGCGCTGGGACATGGCAGACAACGAACAGGTGCTGACAACAGGTGAGCACTACCTGCCTGTCTGCCTGGGACCTCTCAGGCCAGCCTCACTAGGCCCAATCCTGTGCCCACCTGGGGCCCCCAGAGGCCCAGCTGAGTTCGGGTTGTTTCAGAGCATGAGAAGAAGCAGAAGCTGGAGACGGATGCCATGTTCCGGCTGGAGCATGGTGAGGCCGACAGGGGCACACTAAAGAAGGCACTTCCTACCCTAAGTCACATCCAGGAGGCCCAGAATGCCTGGAAGGATGACTTCGCCCTCAATAGCATGCTGAGGAGAAGGTTCCGGGTGAGTGGGGCTCCCACTCAGGGTCAGGGAAGAACACACAGTGGGCTGAGACCCGGGGCCAGCCCTTGCCCCCCACATCCTAGCTGTGAGCAAGTCATTGCACCCTCTGAGCCTCAGTTTCCCCAACTGCCACATGAGATCATGCCCTGTGTTTGGGGGGCTTGCCCTGGCTAGAGTGCCATGGTGTCAGCCTAGCCCCATGCAACCTCAAACTCCTGGGTTCAAACGAGCCTCCTTTCTCAGCCCCCCGAATAACTGGGACTTCAGGCACCTGCACAATACCCTGTTAATTTTTTCTGTTCTTTTTTTAGAGATAAGGTTTCACTCTTGCTCAGGCTGGTCTTAACCTCCTGAGCTCAAGGGATCCACCCACCCAGCCCTCCCAGAGTGCTGAGGTTAGAGGCATGAGCCACCATAGTGGACCCATGCCCTGTGTTAATCCATCCCTGACGCCATAATAAAAACACCTCAGACTAGGTAATTTATAAATAATAGAAATTTATTGCTTACCATTCTGGAGGCTGGGAGGTCTAAGTCCAAGGTGTTATGAGGGTACAATCCTCATAACACATCTTACTGCAACCTCGTTTGATAGGAGGGATGAACAAACACCCTTGATCCTCTCACGAGGACGCTAATCCCATGGAAATGTGTGTTTGCATGAAAAATACACCCTCCTGACTTAATGATGCCCCCTAGGGCCTGACTTTTATCTATCTATTTCCTTGAAGAAGGTCTGTTGGATATGAACCCTGCCTCTTAATACTTTAATGTTAGAGATTGAGTTTCAGTATAAGAATATAAGAATTTAGTTGGGGAACACAAACATTGAGACCATAGCTTGCCCCTGCTTCTCTGTGCTATGCCTCTCAGGAAGCCCACAGTCCTTTCCCCTGGAGAAATGGGCCATCATTTCCAGTAGATTCTGAAAGGCCAGGGCTAGCAGGACAGTAATAACAACATGGTCAGCTCCTGACAGATTTCATAGGGCCATTTAACCATCCTGAAATGAAATTCCTACATCGTTAACCCATCCCCACATTATTTCCAGAATCATCCCTGCAGTGCCCTAAATGTAACAAACAGGGAAAGTGATTAATGAAATACAGTAATGTGTATTGCAATATGTAAATGTTTGGGCCAGACACCTGAGCCTGTGTGTAGAGTCGCTAAGGGGACAAATCCAACTACCAGACTCACACCACCAGGGGCACTGTCCTGGCAAAGAGGGTGCCCCTGGGGCGCACAGGGGCTGCCAGAGCTGAGGCAAAAATAACTTGGTGAAACTGTCAGAATGAGTTAGGAGGTTTTCACCTCAAGTGGCAGTAGAGCTAGAAGGTCTGACAGACCATGAGGACCTTCTCCCTTCTCCCTCCACCTCACACTGGTGGGCAACTAGTGCCCCTGGGCACTGCACACAGAGCCCAGGCAGGAGCGCCCAGGCCCTGCCATGGAGCACAAACTCTAGTGTTACATCCCACCATTCCCATCTCCTCTTGTCTCCTTTTCTGATCGTTCTGTGGTCATTATTATTAGAGCAAAAACTGCTAGTTTTCTTACTTTCTGTTACTGAAAAGGTTTCTCTGCCCTGTGTATCCCCTGCCTACTGGGCATCTCCACATGGGGAGTCTACGCTCATATTTAACATCCCACCAGACCCTGATCCATCTGTAACGTGCCCTACCTGCACCTGCCCACCCCCACCTTCTCAACAGAAGCAGCTCCTTCCTTCCAGGCATTCAGGTCCCAAAGCCTGGAATCAGGTGTGACATCTCTTTCTATAATCCCCACTCCCCCGTCTGTCCATTAGCAGTTCTGTTAGGCTTTGCCTTCAAATGATATCCAGTGTCTATCCACTTCTGTCAAATTCTACAGTCCCCATCTCCTGCCTGGAGCCATGTGGCATGGCCATCATGCTGTTCCCTTCTCAGCTACCAGTGTCAGATCACATCCTCTGAACCCTCTGGGCCTCTCTCCTCACTTACAGTAGAAGCTGAAGTCCTCCCCACAACCCTTTCCTCTCCCCACCTCTACATATTACATATTGAAAGATACTACTCTATTTCATGTTCTTCCTTCTTCCCCTCATCCATTCCACACCATCCACACTTCTGTCTCAGGGGCTTTATGTAGGCTATTCCTTACACCTTTGAACACTTTTCCTACAGATGCTGACATCACTCCCTCGCTCATACATCTTTTCTGAAATGTGACTTTTCTTAGGGAGACCTTCCTTTTTTTTTTTTTTTTAAAGAGAGTCTCACTGTGTCACCCTCAATAGAGTACTGTGGTTTTATAGCTCACAGCAACTTCTGACTCTTGGGCTTCAGCAGTTCTCTTCCCTCAGCCTCCCGGGTATAGGTGCCCGCCACAATGCCTGGCTATTTTTTGTTGTAGTTATTGTTTGCCAGGCCAGGGCTGGGTTTGAACCCACCAACCGCAGTATATATGGCTGGTGCCCTAGTCACTGAGGTACAGGTGCCAAGCCAGGAGACCTTCCTTGTCCCCCTACAACCACCACAGTTAAAGTTGAACCCCCAACCCACTCCCTACCCCACACCCTCTACCCTGCATTTTTTGTTTGTTTGTTTTTGAGACAGTGTCTTGCCCTGTCACCCAGGCTAGAGTATAGTAGTACAATCATAGCTCACTGCAGCCTTGAACTCCTAGGGTCAAGAGATCCTCCTCCCTCAGCCTCCTAAGTAGCTGGACCACAGGCATGAACCACCATACCCACCCCTTCTCTGTATTCTTCTCCTTACTATGACACTTTGTCTTGGCCATTAGAAGGTCAGCTGCATAAGGTTTTTGTCTGCCCACTGCTGTATCCCCAGTGTCTAGAACAAGGCCTTATACAAGGTCAGTGTTCCACAAATACTTGCAGAATGAATGAGGGACAGACAAGGATATGTATTAATGACTATTTCAGCTCCCACTTGTTGAATGGCTTCTGTGCCTCAGGCACTGTGAGGCCCTTCCCTCACATAGTAATGCCCATTGGGACATAAGGAGAAGGGCTTTGATACAGCCCTCCATCCCCTATGCTTTCTCCCTACACACAGGAAAAGAAAAAAGCCATCCAGGAGGAGGAAGAGAGAGACCAGGCACTGCAGGCCAAGGCGAGCCTGACCATCCCGCTGGTGCCTGAGACAGAGGATGACCGCAGGCTGGCTGCCTTGCTCAAGTTCCACACCTTGGACTGTGCGTGGGAGGCCAGGGGGTGGGGAGGCTCCCAGGGGTTGGGGGAGAAATGGGGCCTCCCCAGCCATGAGTGGATGTTGGCAGGAGAGCAGCTCTGGACCCCCTAACTTGCTCCCTTCAAACGTCCTCTCCTCCCCCTCAGCCTATGAGGAGAAGCAAAAACTCAAGCGGACAGAGATTATCAGCCGCTCCTGGTTCTCCTCCGTCCCGGGCTCCAGCACCAGCAGCAAAGTTGGCAGCGTCCTGAAGAAGCTCACCCAGAGCCGCAAAACCGTGCCCACCAGCTCTCCCATCACAGTGGGAAACCTGGGTATTGTGCGGAGGAAGTCCCGGGATGTCCCAGAGAGCCCACAGCATGCAGCTGAGACCTCCAGGTCTGGAGAATCTCAGGTGCCAGAGATTACCCAGGACAAGACCACATCCCCTGGACACTGTCCTCAGGAGCAAGCAAAGACCCCCACGACAAGAGGGCAGGACGGGAGCTGTCAGGAGAAGCTCCTTTCCCCACCAGGGTCCTCCCAGGAGGCAGCTGACCCTACAGACACACCACACCCCTGCAGCCTCAGCTCCTCCCTTGTGGCTGACTACTCTGGCTCAGAGAGTGAATGAGTGAGCATTTGTGGACTAGACCCCCTCCAGAGGCCATAAAACACCCAGGAGACCCTGCTCAGGCTACAGACACCTACCCCCACTGGAGAGCTCAAATGCTATCCCCTCCCTAGACCTGCCTTCCTACAACAATGGAGTTGTTATTTATTTGGTCCTGGCAAGGGTGTTTGTGCCTTGTGAGCCCTGGATATTAAAGCCCTGCTCTTTGCCCCTGCCGTGGGTTACTAGAAGGTGCTTGGTTGCCTTCTGTCCCTTCCACCCAGCTATACTGGGCAGGCCTCTCTCAACAGATGCTTATGTGGGGCCACAGATGTTGTCCCCCCCCCCCCAGCATAATGAGGGCTTCAAATTAGTGACTCGGGTTAACCTGGAGTCAGGGCAGTCTTCCTGGAGGAGATGGCCTGGGCTAAATGTGAAGGGTGGAAAGGGAGCCAGGCAGCAGTAGCCACATAGGAAGCCCAGGGGCGAGGCACAATGGGGTATACCCAGGGCACTGGGGGCTGGAGCATGCAGGCATTCACTGTTATTCTTAACTAAGGGGTATACCTGTGGAAAAGCCACAGAATGTTACGGTAAAATGGCCCAGAAACAGTCATACATCCATCAGTGGGCCTGACCCACCCCACTCCCCCTTCAAACTTGGAGAATTATTGAACAAATAACGGATTAAACATCTGTATCTTGTCATTGGGAATACATCTTTAACTCTGGTCAGCCGGACGCTGAACACAGAACCTGGTGTCCAGTAGGCGCCCAATAAATCATGCCACCTTTGTGGTTTGGAGGAGAAAGCTAACTGTCGGTCGTGCTTGGAAGAAGGATGTGGACAGGGGTCCCGGGAACCGGCTGGGCTGGGTTAGTGTGCGCGTGCGCCTTTCCCGAAGTGGGCCCCGCCCCCGGGATCTGGCTCCGCCTCCGGCTCCTTCACACTAGTGCAGGGTTCACAGTGAGCGCAGCGTGTGGTGATCTCAGAGGCTACAGGATGACTTTGGAGGCGATCCGCTACTCGCGGGGTTCCTTGCAGATCCTCGATCAGCTACTGCTCCCCCACCAGAGCTGTTACAAGTCGGTGGACTCGGTGGACCAGGCCTGGGAGGCGATTCGCTCCATGAAGGTGGGGCGGCGCGGCGGGGAGGTGGGAGGAGGACTGGAGGTAGGGAAAACACCCGCAACCCCCGACGCCGCCGACCCTGTCCTCCAGGTGCGTGGCGCGCCGGCCATCGCCCTAGTGGGCTGTCTCAGCCTAGCCGTGGAGCTGCAGGCCGGCGCTGGGGGACCGGGACTTGACGCGCTCGTAGCTTTTGTGCGCGACAAACTTAGCTTTCTCGTCACTGCCCGGCCTACTGCCGTCAACATGGCCCGCGCCGCCCAGGACCTGGCGAAAGACGCGGCCCAGGAGGCAGCGCGGGAAGGCGCTACGGAGGAGGCCGTCCGAGAAAGGTACCGGGACTTCGTACCACGCACTGCTCTGAATTGAAGCTATTGGTTGACTCGTTCTTTTTTAAACGCGCAGCCACCCATTTTACCGATGGAGGCACGGCGCACTTAAGTCCCTTGCCAAGGTTCCACATACAGAGCTGGGAGTGTAGCCTTGGCAGCCTGGCCCCAGCGTCCTTGCCCTCAGCCCATTCATTGTACCACCTCTGAACACATCCTAGCGCCCACACACACACACACTTGGAAGCACTTTTCGGTATCACCTTGTTCTCTTGTCTTTTCTTTTTAAGAATTTTGTTTCCCCATCATGGTTCCTGTCCCTGCCTTCTTCCTCCTCCCTTTCCTTGTACTCCTGCCACTCCCATTGGCCCCTGAGGCTTTCTTCTGCCTCAGGGCCTTTGCACAAGCCATTACTGCAAGTCAGGAGTAGGTTTCTGCCTTCCCCCAACCTACCTTTATAGTATGTACATCCCATCCCCTGTTCTCTGTCATCTCATTCTGCTGCTTTTGCCTTCATTTTATTATCTGTTCTTGTGCCTCTCACCTCAGCACCAAAGGGGCAGAGATTTTTGTTTTGTTTACTGGTGTGTCCTCTAGCACCTGGCACATGGGAGTGCTACATAAACGTGTTGTACTAGCAAATGCAGTGACAGTTTTGTAACCGCGGCAGAACGGTTCAGGCCCCACAGCTACAAAAGGCTTCAAGCAGGAGGGCTCCACTTGGCACCCTAGCTCAGCAGTTAAGATGCTGACCACATACACTGGGGCTGGCGGGATCAAATCTGGCCTTGGCCTGCTAAACAACAATGACAACTACAACAACAACCAAAAAAATAGCTGGGCATTGTGGCAGCTGCCTGTAGTCCCAGCTACTTGGAAGGTTGAGTCAAGAGAATTGCTTAAGCCCAAGAGTTTGAGGTTGCTAGGGTGACATAGTGAGACTCTGTCTCCAAAAATAAAAAAAGCAGGAGGAGGGACTGGCCTGGGCTCCAAGGTCTCTTGGCTGGTGCTGAGAACTCTTTGTCGGGCCCAGAGTGATCCGCTATGCCGAGGACATGCTGGATAAAGACCTCAGAGACAATCGGAGCATCGGGGACCTGGGAGCCCACCACCTGCTGGAGCGGGTGGCCCCTAGCAGTGGCAAGGTGACCGTGTTGACCCACTGTAACACCGGTGCACTGGCCACTGCTGGCTATGGCACAGCCTTGGGTGAGTGTGCATCCTCAGGGTTAGAGAATGGCCTTCTAGGGCCCTTTTTGGATGAACTGAAAGAAACTCAACCACTTTACCCACAAAAATAGTGAATGTGTTGGTTCTTATACAGAACAGTTACAGGGTTGGCTTCAGGTATGGCTAGATCCAGGGGCTCAACCAATAGCATTAGGGCCCATCTATCCCTGTTGTTCAGCTCTTCCCTCCTTCATCTTCAGGCCCTGGGGTTCTATCAAGGTTCAGATCACAAGAGAAAGGGCTATAGGTACCAAAAAAGTTTCTTTATATCTCAGGGATATGATAGGGTCACCTGCCTACCACCAGTCACTAGATGAGTCCAGCACAAACCATATGCCTAGGGAGTGGGCAGGATGTGGACCCCAGGAAGACTAGGGAGAAGGGAGTGACCAAAGGAAGATTGGGATAGGTGTGACTGGGAATGGGGAATGGGTCAAAGCAGCAGATTCCACCTGACATTGAATTCTCTAGAAAATTTGCTCCACCTCCCTAGGTCCTACCCTCATCCCTGGGCGCTAAGGCTTGAGGGCAAACCTCTGCCTTTGATTCATTCGCAATAAATTCTGTCATTTATGTGGATGATACTTCCAGGACCTCCCAAAGATACTAAAATCTTTAGATGCTCAAGTGCCTAATATAAAATAGTATAGTATACTGTCCAGGTGTGGTGGCACTCTGGGAGGCCAAGGCAGGTATATTGCTTGAGCTTAGGAGTTTAAGACCACCCTGAGCAGGAGTGAGATACTGTCTCTACTAAAATAGAAAAACTCAGCCCAATGCCTATGGCTCAAGCAGCTAAGGCGCCAGCCACATACACTTAAGCTGGCGGGTTGGAATCCAGCCGAGCCTGCCAAACAACACTGATGGCTGCAACCAAAAAATAGCCAGGCTTTGTGGCAGGCGCCTGTAGTCCCAGCTACTTGGGAGGCGGAGGCAGAAGAATCGCTTGAGTCCAGGAGTTTGAGGTTGCTATGAGCTGTGATGCCACGGCACTCTACCCAGGGTGACAGCTTGAGGCTCTGTCTCTAAAAAATAAAAACAGAAAAACTAGCCAGGCATTGTGGTGGGCACCTATAGTCCCAGCTACTGTGGAGGCTGAGACAGGAGGATGCTTGAACCCAGGAGTTTGAGGTTGTTGTGAGCTGTGATGATGCCATGGCACTTAACCCCAGAATGATACAGTAAGACTCACTGTGTCAAAAAAAAAAAAAAAAGTATAGTAGTTTCATATAATCTACATACATCCTTCTGTATACTTTTTTTTTTTTTTAGTTTTTGGCTGGGGCTGGGTTTGAACATGCCACCTCTGGCATATGGGACCGGCTCCCTACCCTTTTGAGCCACAGGTGCTGCCCCTACTTTTTTTTCCTTTTTATTTATTTTTTCTTTTTATTTATTTATTTTTTTGAGACAGAGTTTCACTATGTCACCCTTGGTAGAGTGCTGCATCATCACAGCTCGCAGCAACCTCCAACTCTTGGGCTTAAGCAATTCTCTTGCCTCAGCCTCCCAAGTAGCTGGGACTGGTGTCTGCCACGGTGCCCGGTTATTTTTTTGGTTGCAGTTGTCACTGTTGTTTTTAGCAGGCCTGGGCCAGGTTTGAACCCACTAGCCTCAGTGTATGTGTCTGGCACCCTAGCTACTGAGCTATCAGTTTGTTTTTTTTTTTTTGACAGAGTCACTCTTTTTCACCCAAGCCAGAGTACAGTGATATTATCATAGCTTGCTGCAACCTCAAACTCCTGGGCTCTAGCGATCCTACAGTCTCTGCCTCCCAAGTAGCTGTGAATACAGGCCTGCACCACCACACCCAGCTAATTTTTCTTTTTTTTTTTTTTGTAGACATGGGTCTCACTTTTCCTCAGTTAGATCTTGAACTCACTGACCTCAAGCCATCCTTCTCACCTTGGTCTCCCAAAGTGCTGAGGTTACAAGCATGATAAGCCACTGTGCCTAGCCCCTCCTATATATTTTAAATCATCTCTAGATTAGTTATAATACCTGATACAATGAAAATGCTATGTAAATACTTGGTATACTGTATTGTTAAGAAAATAATGACAAGGGCGACACCTGTGGCTCAGTGAGTAGGGTGCCAGCCCCATATACCAAGGGTAGCAGGTTCAAACCCAGCCCTGGCCAAACTGCAACAAAAAAATAGCCAGGTGTTGTGGTGGGCACCTGTAGTCCCAGCTACTCAGGAGGCTGAGGCAAGAGAATCACCTAAGCCCAGGAATTGGAGGTCGCTGTGAGCTGTGATTTCACATCACTCTACAGAGGGCTATAAGTGAAACTCTGTCTCTACAAACAAAAAAGAAAGAAAGAAAAAATAATGACAAGAAAAAAGCCTGCACAGATGCTTTTTTAAAAAAATAAGTAGAACTGGCTTGGCGCCTGTGGCCAAGTGGCTAAGGCGCCAGCCACATACACCTGAGCTGGCAGGTTCGAATCCAGCCCGGGCCCGCCAAACAACAATGATGGCTGCAACCAAAAAAT